TAAAAAGTCACAAATTAAAAAACTTATTAATTAATTTATAATTTACGGATTATCCCTAAGAATAATGGCAAATTAACAAATAAATACAAAAATTAATTAAAAAACGATAAATTAATTAATTAAAAAATACTAAACTTTACTGATACTATATTTCAATTCGATACCTCCATGTATTACAATCCTATCTTACGGTGAAGGTTAATACAGTCCTATCTTGCGGTAACGTTTTATACAGTTCTATCTTGAAGTGACGGTTTATACCATTCTATCTCAAAATTTTCAATTTTTCAGTTTTTTGCTAAAATTATAGAAGAAAATATTCTGTATTAGATGGTAACACCTAAAATAGTTATATTAATTAGGATATTTATAAAAAACAGTAATTAGAAATAATAACAAGTTTTATCTTCCAAGTAAAAGTGTTCTATCTTTCTTTTGTTTTTGTATCTGTCAAAAAAAATATACACATGTGATTCGTATAATCGTGTTAGAAAAGCAAAAAAGAACAAAAGGTAGAAAATGGATATCCCTTTGGATTTAAGTATGCCATCAGGAAAAAATTCTTTACTGAATAATAATAAAAATATATAAATTTATAAAGTAATTATTTTATCTGTTAATTTTGCTTTATTTTAACTTTTCTTACACCAGGAGAGACTTGTTCTGACGTAGAAATTGAGATCATTCGAATTCAGACTCGGATTGACTATTTTGACTAATATTACAGATACTTTTATTATTATAATTATATTGTAATTTATAATCTTGTTATCGTTTGTGAAATATATAATAAAATACTAGTATAATATAATCCTTGAAACATACTTATAAATTCTATATTGGAGTGACGTTTTCAACGTTTATTACAGTAAAATAATGTAGATTTTTAAATTATTTTATTATTATTCTATTTGTATTCTCACTTGTGTAAAAATTTTCTACAATCAAAACCTCGTTTACTTACTTATTTAAATATTTGTATCTATACTTAAAACTCATAAAAATGATACGTTTATTTTAACTAATAATAATTGATAATTAAAATTAAACAAGAAAACTAACAACATTATTTTTATCATTCCACTATCCCGTGAAATATTAACCTGTCATAAAATTAGGTTAATTAACCTTTGTAGAAGTATTAAGAATGCATTTTCTTGGCTTGATTTTATATAATTGTGTTTTATTTATGTATATTATGATAGAAAAATCTTTAAAGAATTACATAAAAATTATCTTATGAATATCAAACTGTCATTAATATTTTTAATATGGAATTTACTTTTAATTTGGCTCTTACGCAAAATTGGAAAATTTGAGATAGAATGGTATAAAGCGTTACTTCAAGATAGAACTGTATAGAACGTTACCGCAAGATAGGACTGTATTAACCTTCACCGTAAGATAGGATTGTAATACATGGAGGTATCGAATTAACAAATATTAAAATGTTGAAATATTAAAAATACTAAAATATTAAAAATACTAAAAATATTAAAAATATAAAAATACTAGAAATACTAAAATACAAAATATACGAAAGAATTCAATTTTTTTCTTAATTCGTTATAAAAGTTTTCAAAAAAATTCAATTATTTTCTAAAATTTTAATAAATCCTTTGAAACAATTCAATTATTTTTAAAAATAGTAAAATTCTTTGCAAAAATTCAATTATTTTTAAATAAAAATACTAAAATATTAGAAATACTAAAAATACTAAAAATACTAAAAATACTAAAATACAAAATACAAAATATACGAAAGAATTCAATTTTTTTCTTAATTCGTTATAAAATTTTTCAAAAAAATTCAATTATTTTCTAAAATTTTAATAAATCCTTTGAAACAATTCAATTATTTTTTAAGATAGTAAAATTCTTTGCAAACATTTAATTATTTTTAAATAAAAATACTAAAATATTAGAAATACTAAAAATACTAAAAATACTAAAATACAAAAAATAAAAAAATACTAAAATACTGAAAATACGAAAAATACTAGAAATACAAAAATTGTAAAAATACTGAAATATTAAAATCTAAATAATTATTAATTAAATTCAAATTTGCAATATTAAAAATTTTAAAAGTCATAAATTAATAAACAGAATAAAAAATTTTCCCAAAATTATGAAACATGCAAAATTTCAAACCTATCAATAAAAAAGAAAAAACGAAAATTTCACGAAAAAAATTCTTTTTTCTTCTTTTGTTTTACTCACGCATCTTGTGGTGCCACGTAGCGTCAAAGAAAGGAAAGAATTCAATATGAATTAATCAGGTAACTTTCATTCGGAAAAAGTAAACACGTTTTTAACGAAGAAACGTGTCATTGCATAAGAAACTTTTTTTTTTTTTTTATTAAAAAACAGAAATACAAGGAAGAAAGAGGACTTGAAAATTTATCGTCCTGATCAAAAGGTCAGATACAGGAAGTCAACCAAGTTCGATCTGCAATGTGCGATCTTAATGATCTTATGTCATTCCCAATTCACTGACGCAATTTAAAAAGAAACCCAATTTTTTCGAAAATAAAAAAATAATGTAAAATGAAAAAAACGAAATTTCAATGAAACGAAAAGTTGTGAGAAAAGTTAACATTTAAATGTCGATCACAGAAGGGGGAAAAAAAAATTTGCCTATTTTTATTAAGAAACAAAAAATAAAAGTTACAAGGAGAGTTATAAGAGAATAAAAAAAATTAATTACTAAAATTTTTTCTATTAAAAAAATACTGAATTCTGATAAAAATGATAATTATTTATATAATAAATAAAACATGTGTAGATCATGTGTGAGTAGAAATATGTGAAGAATATATGTGTTATAAAAGACGAAATTACGTACGATTAAAAAATAAAATTATACTTTCTATTTTAATACGTGTAATATTATGCTATTTACAAAAAGACAATATATACAATAATCCCTCTAGACAGCATGCAGACATTCATTTCACGCTTAGTGAATTAAATTACAAGTTAACACAAATATTAATAGACAGTTCTTCTTCAATCTTTTGCTAAACGGTCTGCAACATTCACTTAAAAATTTTTTTTTTTTAGTTTCTTTACAACCGATTATATATGCAGTGAATTAATTTATACTAAAAATAGTATCGTTTTTAGCTTTCATTTAACTAAACACTTGTTTTTCTAATGAAAAGAAAGTTTGCCTTTGTTCCATTCTAATAGTGATAACTTTTTTTCTCTTTAAACTAAATAAGAAACAAAAAAATTTTAATTGTATTTTATTTATTCACAATTTCAAACTCAATTTTTGAGATACGATTTTAAATTCAATTTTTCAAATTAAAATTGTGAATTCAATTTTTTAATTGCACTCTGAGTTCAATTTTTCAATTTCAATTCTAATTCAATTTTTTATTCAAATTTTGAATTTAAATTGTAATTCAAATTTGAAATTGAAATTCTGTATTTAATTTTTTAATTCAAAATTCGAATTTAAATTGGAATTCGATTTTTTAATTAAAATTTTTAATTTAAATTGGAATTCTATTTTATAATTAAAATTCTGTATTCAATTTTTTAATTTAAATTTTGAATTTAAATTGAAATTCGATTTTTTGATTAAAATTCTTATTCAATTTTTTAATTCAAATATTAAATTCAATTTTTTAATTCAAATATTAAATTCAATTTTTTAATTAAAATTTAGAACTGAAATTTGAATTCAATTTTGTAATTCAAATTTTGTATTGAATTTTTTATATTCAAATGATGAATTCAATTTATTTTTTAATTCAATAAAATAAATTAAAAATTTTAAATTAAACTCGTTAATTACAATTTTAAATTCTATTCTGAATTTAGTTTTGTAATCAAAATTTTAATTCAATTTGGAATTCAAATTTGAAATCAATTTTGTGATTAAAATTCTGAATTCAATTTTGTAATTAAAATTTTGTATTCAATTTTTAAATCAAAATTTTGGATTTAATTTATTAATTCAATAAAATATATTGATAAATTTTAAATTAAACTTTATAATTACAATTTTGAATTTTATTTTGAATTCAATTTTGTTTATAGTTAAAACTTCAATTTAATTTTGAATTAAAATTTTGATTATTTAAAATTTCAGTTCAATTTTGAATACAAATTTTAAATTGGATTTTGTAACCTTAATTTTGAATTCAATTTTATAGTTAATTTTTAATTCAATTCTTTAATTCAATTTTTCAATTTAATTTTGAATAAAGCTTTCTAATAATAATTTTGAATTAAATTTTTGAATTCAGTTTTTTAATTCAATTTTTCAATTTAATTTTAATTAAGTTTTCTATTAATAATTTTGAATTAAATTTCTCAATTAAACTTTTAAACTGAATTTTCTAATTAAAATTTTTAACAAAGTTTATTAAATCAAATTATCAATTCAATTTTACCTAAAATTTATTAATTAATATTTTGAAATTCATTTTTTACATTCAAAAATATTTTATATTCATTTTTTACTATTTCAAAAATTTAAAAGTATCCTTTACTATTAAAAAACATAAAGGTATAATAATTTTTTATTATTTAAACAATTTAGTACCAATTTCTTGGTGAATTTTAATTTATAATTTCAATATAACATACACAATGAAAAGAAAATTAATTTTTATCAAATAAACGACTGAATGACTGTTAACAAATAAATCTATTTTTTAACTATTTAAAAATAATTTATTTAATAGTCAACTGTTGAAAAAATAATTTTTATTTATATAAAACAAATTTTTTTATTATATATTTAATTGAATCAATTTCTGTCTTTTGAAGTAAATTCTATTATTTAATCAAAATAAAAATAATCAGTAAATATTTTCTGGATACTAGTAAAGTAGTTGTAAAAATAATACTAGTAACAATAATAGTAAAATATTATTTTTGTGACTCAATAAAAATTCTTTCGAATTTTACTAAAACAGAACAAAAAGTAACAGTCAAATAAAATAATTATTTAAGAAAAAATCGAATTAAAAAATAATTACTTAGAATTCCTCTCCTTTCGTTTCTCTCACTCTATTTTCACCAAGTTTCTATCCGGCACAGTGGTTCTCAGTGTCCTCTTTTTCTCTCTCTAGACACACTAAAGCACTTTCATTCACATATCACCCAGCGGCCGGTTCACCGTCATCATCATCATCGAAGAAGAAAAAAAAATTTATAAAAATCCATTACCTAATCTATTTTCTATTTTTAGCAAAAGGTCACAATTTTCGTTTCTTTACAAAAAATTCAACAATTTCTTTTTCCCCACTAAAAATTTTTTTCAAAAAAAAAAAAGAAGAAGGAAAGAATTTCTCTCCCAAGAATTGTTGCGCGTTCACACACAAGAAACGAAGATCAACTTTGTGAGGTTTAACTTGGACTCTCGATCAACACTTGCCGCGAGTCCATTGCCAGGGAAAGAAGAAAGTCCTCTCTTCCCGGGGGAAAATTAGTCGTTCGTATATGTCAAACGATCGAGACTTCGAGATAAGAATTGGAAAATAAGGAGCGCAAAAAAAAATGTCGCGCAACAACTCTTGGCAATGTCGATTGTATAGTGACACTATAAAATTATATATATATATATATATATATATAAATAAAATGCAGAAGTAGAAATCGATTGCGCAATTTGAGCGCGCTCAATTGATCGCGCAACATATTAGCTCGACCGTCACCGAGTGACCGTTGTTTTGTAAAAATCCCCTGCCAATCCCGGTCAAAGTGTAAACAAACATTTTTCTCAACCTCCTTTTTTACGATCGTTACAATTACATATGAGGGGGAAAAAAAAATTCATTCATTCATTCATTCAATAAATTTTTATTATCATTGAATAGATAAATTAGCATCGCAAAGATTTTTTATAAAAAGTGAATTACTTTTCACATTTTTTGTTCGCATCTCTTTCTTCTTCTACAATTCCAACTCTTCTAGAACTGCAAGATAATATAATTATTGCAGAAACGTGTCAAAATTTTATTAAATGTTTTAAATTTTATTTAAATTAAATTTTTCAAAATTTTAGGTCAAATTTCTATTATATTTTAATTCTAATTTAATTTTATTTATTTTTCCTATATGATTATAAACCTATGAACAAAAAATTATTTTATCTTTTATTTCATTCAAATAATTAATAATTTTAATAATTTTCATTCAATAATTAATTATTATTGTTTATATTTTCAAAAAAATTCAATATAATTCTTTAAAAAAATTCAATTATTTTCTGAAATTTTAATAAATCCTTCAAAACAATTCAATTATTTTTTTAAATATAAAATCTTTGTAATAATTTAATTATTTTTAATAAAACTCAAAATTATTACACGAAAGACTTCAATTATTTTATTTATTCGTTATAAAATTATTCAGAAGAATTCAATTATTTATTTTTGAATATTAAAACATTGCAAAAATTTAATTATTTTCTTTATTCGTTATAAAATTAATCAGAAGAATTCAATTATTTTCTAAAATTTTTGCAAAGTTTTACTATTTAAAAAAATAATTGAATTGTTTCAAAGGATTTATTAAAACTTTAGAAAATAATTGAATTCTTCTGATTAATTTTATAACGATTAAAGAAAATAATTGAAAAGACTTTCGTGAAATAATATTGAGTTTTATTGAAAATAATTGAATTATTGTATAGATTTTACTATTTAAAAAAATAATTAAATTGTTTTGAAGGATTAATTAAAATTTTAGAAAATAATTGAATTCTATCGAAGAATTGAAATATTGAAATATTGAAATTTTTTGAAAATTTAAACAATAATAATTAATTATTGAATGAAATTATTTAAATTATTAATTATTTGAATGAAATAAAAGAATTATTTTCTTAAATTTTAATAAATGCTTCTAAACAATTCAATTATTCTTTGAAATAGTAAAATCTTTGCAATAATTCAATTATTTTCAATAAAACTCAATACCTATTATTTTAGGAAAGACTTTAATTAATTTCTTTATTCGTTATAAAATTATTATTCAGAAGAATTCAATTATTATCTAAAAATTTTTCCAAGTTTTACTATTTAAAAAAATAATTGAATTATTTCAAAGGATTTATTTAAATTTTAGACAATAATTGAATTCTTCTGATTAATTTTATTAAAAATAATTGGATTTCTGCAAAGTTTAAATATTTCAAAAAATAATTGAATTGTTTCAAAGGATTTATTAAAATTTTAGAAAATAATTGAATACTTCTGATTAATTTTATAACGAATGAAGAAAATAATTGAAATCTTTCGTGAAATTTTATTATTGAAAATAATTGAATTTCTGCAAAATTTGAGTATTTAAAAAAATAATTGAATTGTTTCAAAGAATTTATTAAAATTTTAGAAAATAATTGAATACTTCTGATTAATTTTATAACGAATGGAGAAAATAATTGAAATCTTTCGTGAAATTTTATTATTGAAAATAATTGAATTTCTGCAAAATTTGAGTATTTAAAAAAATAATTGAATTGTTTCAAAGAATTTATAAAAATTTTAGAAAATAATTGAATTCTTCTGATTAGTTTTATTGAAAATAATTGAATTGTTTCAAAGAATTTATTGAAATTTAAAAAAATAATTGAATTGTTTCAAAGGATTTATTAAAATTTTAGAAAATAATTGAATACTTCTGATTAATTTTATAACGAATGAAGAAAATAATTGAAATCTTTCGTGAAATTTTATTATTGAAAATAATTGAATTTCTGCAAAATTTGAGTATTTAAAAAAATAATTGAATTGTTTCAAAGAATTTATTAAAATTTTAGAAAATAATTGAATACTTCTGATTAATTTTATAACGAATGGAGAAAATAATTGAAATCTTTCGTGAAATTTTATTATTGAAAATAATTGAATTTCTGCAAAATTTGAGTATTTAAAAAAATAATTGAATTGTTTCAAAGAATTTATAAAAATTTTAGAAAATAATTGAATTCTTCTGATTAGTTTTATTGAAAATAATTGAATTGTTTCAAAGAATTTATTGAAATTTAAAAAAATAATTGAATTGTTTCAAAGGATTTATTAAAATTTTAGAAAATAATTGAATACTTCTGATTAATTTTATAACAAATAAAGAAAATAATTGAAGTCTTCCGTAAAATTATATTGAAAATAATTGAATTTCTGCAAAGTTTGACTATATTTAAAAAAATAATTGAATTGTTTCAAAGGATTTATTAAAATTTTAGAAAATAATTGAATTCTTCTGCTTAATTTTATAACGAATAAAGAAAATAATTGAAGTTTTTCGTGAAATCTTATTATTGAAAATAATTGAATTTCTGCAAAGTTCGACTATTTAAAAAAATAATTGAATTTGAAAAATAATAATGGTTAAATATTTATTTTAAATAAAACTATTGATGTTTTCGAATAATTTGACAATTAAAGATATTCGTAAATAAATGTAATGGAACTTTTTTTTGAGTACCTCATAATTTTTAGAGTGACAATAAGACGAGTGTATAAATAAAATAAAAAAATATTAACGTTGTTATATTTTTATTACAATAATAATTAATGAACTTATTAATAAAATATAATAAAAATTTAAAAATACAATAAATACATAAATTTGTGTAAATTATTTCTAATTCGTATCGTTTACTTTTTATTCTCCTCTTCGAGTATCAGAGTTGAAGTTGTTAAACAGTCGCTGGTTGAGGCAAAAAAGAAAATACCGTTTCAAAGACTACTCTCTCAAGTGTTAGGCTCTATTAATTTTTTGAGTTTTTCTTTGAAAAATATTTTTCTTTTCTTTTTATTCAAATGGGATAGAATTGCAAATTATTATTATGGACATGATCCTGTGCGTTATTGCACAACTCGGCAATTCACCAAGAGCAATGGCTTTGCTCTATGACCCCCAAAGCAGACTTTCTAACTGCATTTCATTATGCTCATGTTCCATAACTAGTTTATTAACGAGAACTTCCTCAAGATAGTTTGCATCATTAACGAATCACTTTGTAACAATTCATATCCTTATGCAATTCAATATATGCGCCTTTTCGTCCTCATTTGTGTCTATAACATGATCCTGCGACCTTTGCTTCTTCCAGTTCTGTCTTTTTTTTTTATTTCACCATAAAAATTTATAAGTACAATAAAGTATAAAAATTTATAATTATGTTTAGTCATAGTGTACTGCCGTTGGATATTCACTAAACATTACTTCTTATAATTTCGTTTTTTTCACCAAAAAATTTCCTTTTTCTTAAAAAACAAAGCAGAATATTTTTTTAGCTACTGAATTGAAATAAAGACGAGAAATTTTTTTCCCCGAAAATACCAACGAAATTTTGTAATTTTTACAACATTTTGAGAATAACTGATGGATTATTTTGAGAATAACCCAGACGTAATACATCTGCTATGCAAAAATAATCTAAATATTATATTTTAATACTAAAATATGACTCAGTAGGAATTCTAGGAAAGTGATGTAAAATTTTACATAACAAAAATTCTTTGTATTAAAATTTAAAAAAAAAACCGAAAAAAATACAATATTATAATGAAATCTGTGTGGTTTTTCTGTGCGATCTCGTTTCATGGAATACATATAAAAATTTTTGCTTTCTCTCTCCTATATCTGATCTTCAAATTATGCACTTGCAAAATATTTCCATCTGTCAAGGCACTTTGGATTCTTTGGGATTTTCCGCTCCGAATACAATTTCCTTATAAATAACGTCATAATCTCTTTAAAATTTCGTTATTACAATATACCTGCTTGCATAACAATTTATATCAATTTTTCCTGCTTTCTTATTCTTAATTTACATTTTTGATATTATATTACTTTTATATTTAAAATAACAAAATATATAGTTAAATAAGAAAAATTTGGCAACAAATTTTTCGTTCATCTTCTATTCAATTTTAATTATAATTTTTTTCATACAAAATTTCAATTTTTTTCACAATTTATAATTAAATTCAATTCATCATTCTTTACAGAATTATAAATCTTTCAATAAAAAATTATTTTATATTTTATTTTATTCGAATTCCAACCTTCATTGAGTTAATTATTTATTAAAAAAAATTCTAGTTCAAATTTCTATTCAATTTTAATTCTAATCGTTTTTTTTCAATAACAAATTTTTAAAATGAAATTTATAGTTAGATTTTTTTATTTACAAATTCCTAATCCTAATTCTTTTCAAAAATATCTTTGAATTTTTTCAAAATAATTCAGTTTTATTAATAATTTTAAATTAAAATTTTGAAAGAAATTGAATTTTAAGAACAATTTCTTTCATGTTTTTAATATAATCGTGTTTCTTCAAAATTGAAATTAAACAATTAATTATTATTAAATTTTATTTAAATTTTTAGAAAATAATTCAATTCTCAGAATTTTATTAAATATATGTAGAAAATAATTACATTCTGAGAAGAATAGATACATATTAAAAATTTTGTCAATAA